TTTTGCTCTTTTGCACAGACGGCCGATCCAGATCAAATTAACGCGTCGGATATCGTTGAGCTGCGCGACGGCAGTCCCGACGACCCGCCCGAGACGGGAGACTCAACGTCACGCCCCGGGACCACCTCCCTGCGCCGAAGCCGCCTGAAGCGGTCACTGCGCGCGCGCCCACGCCGCCCGCACAGCGTCGAGGACCCAGACCCTAACGCGCCGTCGAGCCAGCAGCAGGGCGCGCCCGTGCGCCGACAACGGTCGCAACGGCGGCAGGGCACGGGTGCCGGGTCCGATCGGCCCGACGGGTCTACCGCGCCGTCGGAACTCGACAGCGGCGTGCCGGACAGCGTGAGCGCACAGGTGTCGCTGCCCGTGACGACGCCCAAGGCCGCGGTGGTCCCGTCGCCGGCGACACCAACCGCCGGTGCGCGCATGTCGACGTTCGACCCGACGCTCCTCCCGCTCCCACCCATGATCCCGCCGGTGCTCGATCTCGTGACCCCACAGCCGGACATGGCGACGACGGGACTGGCCACACCGACGGGCGCGTTTGTGATCCCGCCAGAGCGCACGACCTCGCTCAAGTCGCGCGCGCGTGTCCGGCCCAACTCGATTGCGACGGCTCCGCCGTCATTTGATTCCCCGTCGCGCCCGCACCAGTTGGCCTCACGTGGGGCATCTTCGGTCGTGCACTCGAACGACACGACCCCACCGTCGTTGCCGACGTTGCTCCCGTACGGCACGACCGCGTCGTCGCCGCTGTCGTCGCCCGATGGCGAGGGACCGATCTTTGTGTCCCCGAAGCGCACGAGCAGTTTGTTTGCGCACGGGCTTGCGGCGCTGCACCAGAAACACCAGCAGGAAATCGCCGGCAGTAACGAGCACCACCACGCGGACGGGCATGATCCGGCGCAATGGCCGCCGCGGTCGACGTCGCACCCTGTGCAAATTCCGAACCGTGTCGACTCGGTCGGCGGGATGCGGCTGCCGCTGTCCCCGCCCCACTTACCGCTCGAAGTGCCCCCGTCCCCGTCGGACATTCCCGCACAGCTTGGACGGTCGCCGGAAGCGATCAAGGCCCCGTTGCCGGAACAGCAGGGCAAGGACGAGGACGTGGCCCTGGACGCACCGCCCGCGGCGGTAACGTCGCCGCTGTCGCCAGATGTTACGGCGGGTCCGTTGCCGGCGCCGATCGAGGAGGGCGCTGTGGAATCGGTCGGGTCGCCAGAGTCGCCGAGTAAGCACGACCCGTTCCATGCGTTCAAGCCCGTGGAGCCGCTGCCGCCGCTCTTGCCGCCGCGGTCCGAGACGGCCGTCGAGTCGCCAGCGCAGTCGCCGACGCAGGCGCCCGCGGACCCAGTTGTTGCGCCGCTCCCGCCCGCCTTGGACATGTCCTCGATCGTCGCGGGCCGTGAACGTAGTAACTCGACCGTGTCGGTCGAATCGGACGGCGACGACATGTCGGATTCTGGTCCAATCACGATTTCGGTCCCGCCGTCTGCTAGCGCGCCAGCGGCCACGTTGCCGTCGGTCTCGCCCGCAGCGCTCACGCCGACCAAGAAGAAAAAGAAGAAGTTATTTGGGTTCTCGCGGCGACGGAGCGACCCGGACGACGGGTCGTTGCCGCACACCATGTCGGCTCCCGACTTGGTCCCGTCGAGCCCGAGTCTGGATAGCTCGCCGCTGGTCTCGACGTCGCCCGCAACCAAGCACAAGAAGTCGTCGTCGTGGGGATGGCTGTTCTCGTCATCATCGAGTGGGAACGGCGGGTCGACGAACGGTGGGAAGAACCGGCAAATCACGCCGTCGCAGGCGGCGGCCGTGGCCGCGACTCTCGACGCAGACGGGTCCCCAAACCCGGGCAAGAAAAAATCTGAGCGGTCGTTTGTCGTGTCCCTGTTCCGCGGGTCGAGTTCGACGGGGGCCACGGCCAATGGCAAGAAAGGCGAATCGCCGAGTACCTCGGCGCGGTCGTCGCTCGACGTACCTGGCGGCAGTACTGCGGCGTCGACGGCAGTGTCGACCAGCGGCAGCAGTACGCCCAAGCGGTACACGAACAACCAGCGGCGGTACCCGATTCATATCGAGCGCGCGATTTGCCGGATTGCGCACCAGAAACTCGCGAATCCGCGGCGGCCACTGCACCACCAGGTGTTGATTTCCAATATGCTCGTCTGGTATATGTCGCTGCGCAAGGCCGAGGAGGAAATGCAGTTCCAGCAGCAGCAACTGTCGGGATCCGACTCGGAGGGGGCCCTGTCGAATGACGATGGCGGACCGCGCGCGACAGTTTGGAAAGGTGGCCGGTTCCGCAGTAACTTGCACCCAGGCCGTGGCGGCGGGCGCAAGCGCCGTGGGCACCGGACCAAGCACCGGCCGGGCGAGATTGTCGTGCCGGCGCCCTCGTATACGGTCGGAGGAGCCTATGATGACGGGTATTCCTCGGACGGCCGACGCCGCTCGGGTGGGGTCGACGGGAAGGGTAGGCACCGGCGGCGGCGCAACCGGCGGCATGGGCAGCCGTCTGACGATAGTGATTCCGACGATTCCGACGAGGATGACGATGACGACTCGGACGATTCCGATGACTGGGATCGCGACGCCGAGAGTATCGGCGACGACGACGAGGATGAGGACGAGGCGGCGGAGAATGGGCTGGATATTGATGAAATGGCGCGCAGGAACCATACCAAGCGCGTGCCGCGGCCGCCGCGCACGGTCACGGCTGGTGGGCGGTCGCGGACGCGGTCGTCGTCGCGCGCACGTGCTGCAGCTGCGGCGGCGGCGGCAGGTGGCGGCCCCCCGGCTCTGCGCGCACCATCGAGCCTTGTCCCGGTCGGTGCCAAGCTGGCAGCGACGCCAACGTCCCCCGCCGCAACTGTCACGGCATCCGGCGGTGTCGAGACGATCGCCGTCCCTCCCTCGGCCTCGTCCACCCGGCGGTCGCCGACCCCCTCGCTGAAACAAGTCGCAACAGAGGACGATCCGGACGACGAGGACGACGACGTGCCGCTGGGTCTGTTCATGCAAAAGAAACCCGGGACCGCCGCCGCGGCAGCGGCCGCGGGCGTGGCGTCGTGATAATGAGATTGGGCGTGAACGTTTGTGTTGGTTGCTTTGGCACAGGAGCCCCTTTGGGCAAATGATTATCTGGTCCATGGGACCGCTTTTTACGATACCACTCCGCTTCCCCATTGTGTTGCGAATCGCTCTGTTGCTTCTTCACCTTGTTTGGTTGTTTTTCTCGTGGTGCCGCTGGTGGGGTCTATGGCGGGCGTCGCCGGTCTCATTAGCACGGCTAAAAATTGTTTGTAGTTTCTTCATACTGTCGTTGCCCAACTTGCAAATGCGAGAATGATTTGCCCAGTCCCAACCACGTCTTTCAGTCATCATCACACCAGTCACGTTTCCGTCTTGCGCTCCTCGACTGGCCATAAAAACTCCTTCAACCGGCGCACCGCCGCACGAAGCTCTGCGACCTGTGCCGCGTGCTCCCGGCGCTCAGCAGCCACCTCATCTCGCACTGCCGCAAGCTCCGCAGCTAGCTGGTCCCGCTCGGTGTACAGCGCCGAGTACTCGGCACGGAGCTTGGTGAGCGCACGCGGCGCGATTCCCAACGCCGGAAGGTCGGCAGGGATCGTACGCGTCGGCGTCGGCGACGCTGCGGACTGGTTAGGTGTGGTGGTGGGTGGCTTCCGGTCGAGGATCTTGCGCTCAGCCACGGCAGGGTCCGGGAGCAGGTAGATCAGGTCGAGCGGCGGGCTTGCGGGCGACGGGGACGCGCCATGCACGGGTGGAGAGCGTGCGGCGCGTCGGGGACTGCTTGATTTCGCGGTGCGCGGCTGGTCTGCGGCCGGGTACGCATTGATGGGCACGATTCCGTCCATTGTCGCCGTGACGTGCGCATGAGCACGCTTGCGGACGGGCGACAACTGCGGCGAGAGACGCTTCCGTGCGTGACGGTCAGGTGGAGAAGTTGAGCCAGCCGAGCGAGAAGTACGTGGTCGGTGCCGGCGTGGCGACGGATGAGCAGGATCCACGTCGTCGCTGTCGTCCGAGACGTTGTACCGAAACTCGTCATTGGCTGAGTCGGAGCTTGCGACATCGTCGACACCGGCATCCCCACGGATCACTTTCGCTGAACGGGCGCGAGTGTGCTCAACCTCAGACACCCGCCGCTGCTCCTCCGACTCACGTCGTCGCAATCTCGTGCTCGTCGAGCGCCCTGTTGGGGTCCGCCGTTTGGCTCGTTGCCGCTCGTCCTTCTCCACCCGTTTGCGAGCCCGCTCCTTCTCCTCGGTTTGATCCGCGAGCACCGCAGCTGACCCACGCTCGACGAGTACGCGCCAATGCTCGGCCATGGCGCGGAACCGGTCGCGGTCAGCGCGCGTTTCCGCGAACTTGCTCACGAGCGCGCGGATCGTCTGCTCCTTCTTGCGCACGAGCGCGACGAGGTGCGTGCGCGATAACTTGTGCACGCCCTGCGCCTCGACGCCGCAAATCGCGTCTGGGTCCGGCAGATCGCCGACCTCGTCGGGGGTCAGTTTGCATGCCTTGATGAGGATCAGGGCACGGACTTGAGTCTATGAGTGGGCAGATCGGGTCGAGATCAGCCCGCTGAGGCTGCTGGACAATAATTGGAGCACCCTGCCCGCAACACGACGTGTCTCAGTCGCTCGTATGCTACATGCCAAGTCGATGGCCATGGTTGACGTACTTGCAGCTGGGCAATCTGGTCATCCTTGCGGACGAGTTGCTCGGCGAGTTGGCGGACGGTCTCGTCGGCAGTTGCGACTTGTTCAGCGAGCGCTACGACGACGGCATGGTCACGGCGCACTACGTCGGTGTAGCGTTCGCGTTGATTCATCATTTGCCTGGGGCCCTGGAGATGCATTGTGTCGGTGCCCGGCCAGAAATCATGACAAAACAAAAAAGGGAGAGCAAGAGGCTCTGCAAAGGCGGAGATGAGCCTGGTATTGGAAAAAAAGGATTGCAATGCGTGTTTGTGTCACCGCTCAGGATCGAACTGAGGACCTTCTGCTTGTAAGGCAGATGTGATAAACCGACTACACTACGGTGACGTGGTTGAAAATTTGCAGAAACTTTTCTCGACCGGACCTGGCGACTTGCAAATAATCTTTCATTTTCCACTTGATCGACGGGGGCAGCTTGGTCGGGACGAACACCCAAAGTGTGAGGCGATGAAGGGTGAAGTGTGGGGTCGATGGAGCGCGCGTTGAGGAGGTGCGCACGATGGCGTGATGATTTGAACGAAACCAACAGAAACAGATAATGGAAAAGACAAAACGATTTCTCACTTGTTTCCCAAACCGTCACCTCATTGACAGGACGCGCGGCCGGCAACAAAAACCAAAGCAATCAATCCAAGCCCGCCGAGCGCGCGCGCCAATGGCCTGCTTAGGCCTTCTTGTAGAGCACGCGCAGCGCCGAGTCGACGATATGGTCGACCGTGGGCAGCGAGTGCGTCTCGAGGTTCTGCGCGTAGGGCATCGGGATATCAGCACCCGTCACGCGCTGCACCGGCGCGTCAAGGTAATCAAACGCGTCTGACTCCATGATCTGCGCAACAATCTCGGACCCAACGCCAAAGAGCGGCCAGCCGCCCTCGATCGTGACGAGCCGGTTGGTCTTCTTGATCGACGCGATAATCGTGGGCATGTCAAGCGGGCGAATCGAACGAAGGTTGATCACCTCGGCCTGGACTCCGTGCTCGGCCTCAAGCTTGGCGGCGGCATCGAGGGCAAACGAGACAGGGCGCGAGTGCGCAACGAGCGTCACATCCGAACCGGCACGCTCAATCTTGGCCTGGCCAATTGGAAGGACAAAGTCGTCCTTGAGCGCCGCGTCCGACATGGCGAAGGCCTGACCGTAGAGCAGCTCGTTTTCCAGGACCACGACCGGGTTCGGATCGCGGATGGCCGCCTTGAGCAGACCCTTGGCGTCCTCGGACGACCACGGCGAAACGACCTTGAGCCCCGGTACTGACCCGTACCAAGCGGCAAAGCACTGCGAGTGCTGCGCGCCGACACCGGCCGACGCGCCGTTTGGCCCACGGAAGACAATCGGGCACTGCGCGATGCCGCCCGTCATGTAGTGCGCCTTGGCCGCCGAGTTGACAACGTGGTCGATGGCCTGCATGGAGAAGTTGAAGGTCATGAACTCGCAGATCGGCTTGAGCCCGTGCAGTGCCGCGCCGACAGCGATACCGGCGAAACCCATCTCCGTGATGGGCGTGTCGATGACGCGCTTGGGGCCAAACTTGTCGAGCAGACCGCGCGACACCTTGTAGGCACCGTTGTACTGGGCGACTTCCTCGCCGAGCAGGAAAATCGTTTCGTCACGGCGCATCTCCTCCTCCATAGCCGAGTTGAGGGCGTCGCGCACGGTCATCTGGTTGCCCTCGGCAGCGGCAGCCGCGAGCGCACGGCGCGAGGCAGCGGCGGCGGCAGCGCGCGCAAGCGGCGAGGCCGAAGTAGCCAGCGAGCGGAACATGGCGGGAAGGACTCTAAACGCAGCAAAACGCGCGATGTAGGGGTACGACGTGGGAGAGGAGAACGGGAGGAGAGAAGAGAGAGGGTGCGAAAAGGAGGGTAAGAGGGCGAGAGGCAAGGAGAGGGGCGTGAGGAGGATCCGACGCGAGTAAAACGTGGTCAGCCGCCGCCTTTGCGCAAAGTGGGCTGGATCATGGTGCAGCAACAAGCAGCACGCGACTGGACTGCTGATGTCGAGCCAGAAACGGAACGGCCGCAGCAGCCAGCAGCAGCAACAGATGGCCGGTTGCGAGGACGGTCGACTTGGCACGCGTCCATTTGAATGACCAGTCGGCCGATCCGGTCAGGACTCGCCGTCAGGTTGTCGGCAGTCGCGCGCTCTCTTTGCATGCTGCTCATGGTGCTGGCAAGGACGTGACATTGGGACACACACCGGTCGGGTGGGTGGTGGGGCAGGGACGGCGACGGGAGCGAGGAAGCGCGACAGGGATCCACGAGAGCGGCGTCGTTGGCAGCGTCGAGGAAGAGGGCGCGCAGTGCAGCAGGTCAGGCGGCGTTGGTCGAGCAGACGCAGGTGCTGGTGGGCGAGCGAACTGGGCAAAAGTTCGTCGACGATGGAGGTGGTGCAGGTGCAGCCTTGGCCGACGAGAAGCGTGTCGCAGGAACGATCAGGTCGCCGTGATGCAGCTTTGGCCCCGAGGGCAACCGCGCGCCCCAGGAGCCGCATACGCACGTGACGCCACACCGTATCGCGCATCTATAAACCGCTGATTCAGATCAATCGCGCGTCTTTTGCTCCCCAACCACCACGTGGCGTTCAAAAATGGGCACGAAGTCACAAGCTGCTTCAAACTCCGTGGTGAGGGGCAAGGGAAAAGAGTCGTTCGTCCTTGCTTACAAACCGCAAGAACGACAAGTTTTACGCATTGCTACATCCCGAGCACGTCGGGACTTGGGGACGAAAATCTGGCAGCGCGCTGCCAACTGCTCTTCTCGATGACAGATTTCTTTGTTTCAGTTGCAAGTCTCGACGGCGGCCAAGTGCACGCACTGTTGCCTTCACACTTGTTCGACTTTAGCAAGCCCCTCACGCGTACAGTGGGTGGGCCGTTGCTATGCGAGGCCGCGACGCCTATGATCTGCATTCGCACGCTGAAGCTGGACCCGAGCGCGTTGGCGTGTGCTGACTCATCATTTTGTGGCCCTCGCCCGTCACGTCGACGTGTGGCCTTACGGTGAGCGGCCGGCATCTGGGCGGGTCGTGGATGTATTGTGGAAAAATACACTGTATGTGGAATAGAAATACAATCTGGTCAGCCAATAAACATCGCCCACTTCACCACGCACTGGTTGCTTGGAATTTAGGATCGGAAATCTGATCAGATGCGCCTGTGCACGTGACGTTGGCGTAACGTGACCGCGTCGAGCTTTGCCTTTCCTGTTTTTCGGTCGCGGACCGCCATGTTCCACCTCGCTCGGCCTCGTTCGTCCCGTTTCGATTGTGTGTTCGACCTCGTTCCCGACCCTCTCCCGACGTCGTTTGTCGGCCTGCGCATTGCCTTCGCCGTGGTTCGCAGAGGCCGACACCTGGCGCACTCCACTGCACGCATCACCCACGCCGGCATGGAGAAAAGCATCGAACGCGGCCGAACGACGCGCCCATCGACGCGACGGCGAGCACAAGCGCGGCCGCACCACTCCGACGCGACTATATAAACGGCACCACCGCCTTCCCCGCTCTGGCGTCGCCAGTTAGCACGTTCACGAAATTCAACTCCATAACAACCCACCAACCATGTCGCTGATCCGCCCGCTACTCGCCGACTTTGCGCGCACGATGCGCGCCTTTGACGACCCCTTCTTCCAAGTGATGCGCCGCACGCCGCTCGCGAACGACGTCTGGTCGACGGCGTTCCCGGCGCTCGGCGCGTCGATGCGCCGCATGCCCAATGTCGACATTTCCGGTACGCTATCTGCAAGCGCAACCATGATGTATCGACTGAACTCTGCCCCTCACTCACTCTCTCTCTCGTCCGCCCCGCACCGACCACCAGAAAATGAGTCCGAGTACAAAGTCGTTGCCGAACTGCCCGGCCTGCAGCGCGACCAAGTGAACGTCGAGGTCGTCGACAACAACACGCTCGTCATTTCCGGGTCGCGGTCCTCGGGCACCGATCAGCCGACGCAACAGGCCGCGTCGTCGTCGTCGGGCGATCAAGCGGAGGCAACGACCGACGTGGCCACGGCACCCGAGACCGGGTCGGCCGTCCAGACGGCCGGCGGGCACGAGGTCGTGACGCGCGAGCGCTTCTCCGAGGAGTTTATGCGGTCGATTGCGTTCCCGTCGCGCATCAAGGCCGACCAGATCCAGGCTAAGCTGCAGAACGGGCTGCTCGAGCTGGTGATCCCGAAGGAGGCGCCCGTTGAGCCCAAGCCGACCAAAGTCAACATTCAGGTCTAGATGGGAAGTCGCGAATGAAGACGGTGAGTTCGAGTCGGTTTGTTGTCGGGAGAAGATGTGGGTGCGTTTGATGCGCAGAGATTTGTAAATAGGTAGGTTTATGGGAGCGGTACCACTGAGGGCCGAAATGAAAGCGAATCGGTGATGATAACACAGATAATATGGACGGGCGCGCACATTTTAAAGGCATTCTCAGATGCATGTCCGAAAGCATTTTCGCTTCTTGGCCAAAAATTTGTCGTCTCTTTCACGGAATGACCTGCGGCGCCAAGGAATGATACAAAGGTGATCAGCATGGTGCAACCATGCTTGCAGCAAATGGACGTCCTCATGGACACAACTCAAGTTTATAGGGAATGTCGCGGAGTCAAGACGACATGTTGTGGGGCGCACTATTCAGGCGTGCGGAATCGGACAAGACACGCGATTGGAAAGAATCGGCCAACAAACGTTTTAAACGGATCTATTCCCTGCTAATTTTTCCTGGCGCTAGTAGGTGGCTAGAGCCGAATCGAAAACGTGCATCGAAGGGTACAAAAGAGGTGCGCTCCCACCACCGCGCTTTCCAATTTGTCGATTTGCCAAGCGGCATTTTGCCGCGGCCGTTGGCCTCTGTGCTGACGGCCTGCTCCAAGCGCGTTTCCGTCTGCTCCCAGCGCCGCACACGCACGCACGCACGCACGCACGCATGCACGCACACACGCACACCAACACGTTGACCACGACCAACTGCACGACATCCATGATGCCAAGACCCGATGTGTAGGTCGATGCGATGCTTTCCTGCAGCTCGACTTGCAACGATGTGCATTGGATTTGTCGATGGATGGTTTGTTGCAATTTGCTAGGTGGTGGCCGCACATACAAGGTCAAGGACCAACAATTGATTTGTCCGATTCTTTGCAGTGGCAGTTGTTCTGTTTTTTTGGGGTACGCTAGTTGTGGATGTGGATGTAGGTGGAAAAATGAATTATGGAAATGATCACGCCCAAATGTTGCCGCTGCGCCCGCTGACAAGACAAAATCAAAATTACAACGAGGTCAAGAAATCGGCGAGCGTCTTGGGCTTGCTCGACTCCTCGTTCTTCTGCTGCGCCTTGAGCAGGCC